GTTTGCTACTGAGATTCTCTCGAATCTCACCCCTCCCTAACCAACTATTTAGGTCAATCAAAGGTGGGCAATAATGGCACGAGAGGCAAGGAGAAGAAAGTGGAGAATTATTGATGTTAATGAATGATGTTATTATTCAATGTATAATTCTCCTATTTTGTAATCTATGTTATGGATGCCAATAATACCATGCATTTAATTACAATGTTTATGGGAGGAATAGAAATGTATGAGGATGATTGGAAAAGTGTAAACCCAATTTATGTATACCAAAGAAATAGAAAGAATTAAAGTAAAAAGGAGGTTATGGGATAAAACATAGGTCCTAAAGCAGTGAGTTTATAGCTCCAGTTTGACCTATCAAATGAATGAGTAAAGCCACGAAATTTTGGCAGAGCCATAGTACACATCCCAAAGCTTTAGAATGAGAGGTAGATCGCCTCAATCGGATGTGTACACAAGGAGATACAATTTTTATAGAATTAGTTATGATTTTTCAAAATTGGACTTGAAATCTGAATTTAAACAGTGAATAGTAACCTAAGTAATTATGTTAAAATTTTAAATCCACGGGCTTGTGTCATGACCTGCTTGAACCATAACGCTTACGAATACGTACTATGAGGGGTTAAAGGTAGGATGTTTCACATATCTCTTAACACACAAATTTATTTTAAGTGATTTACCACTTGTTTTAAAACTTAAGATGTGTACTTTAAACATGTTAAATTTTATGGGCAAATTCTATCGCTTGCCTCACTTCTACTCTACCACAAACTTGTGGCTTATTTAGGAATATCTATCCCCTTACTTGCATTAGTAATGCATAATTATTTATTTCTTTGCATGCAATCATTCCAATATTGCATAACTTATTTTCATTCATTAACGTGTTCCATTATCTATGCCATTATCATCATTTAACTTTATGTAACATCATTAGCACTATCCATATATACATTGACATAGAAATTACATTATGTAACATAATACATTTCCTCAATTCTTTTCTTATTTTCTTTGCTTCCACTTCATGCATCTTTTTTCTTGCTTATTAACAATATTAGGGTTGGTCAACAGAGGGTAAAATTTGAGAAAATCTTAGTAGCAAACATTACCCACATGTATGCAAGACAAATGATAAGTGGATGACATGTTTGGTCTTATGCTTTCATGCTTATAAAATGACATGCTTTAATGCTCAATGTTTCATTCACACATGGCTAAGGAACATACAAAAAACAGAGGAACATTCAATTTTTCATATTCTAAATCATTAACAAGCAAATCAACACTCAAGCATACATATCAAGTACATAATAAAGGTAAGTTCACTATCTTGTGTCTTCAAGCTTTCTCTTTGCTCCCTTTTACTCTCTTTGCCTCCAATCATTTAGGATGGTTGCTCAACCTTTGCATTTCTCTTTCTTAATGTCTCATGGCCTTAAATACATCAACACATCATTGCTATTTATTCACTAGAGCCATGATAACAAATAACATCAACACTTTACTCTCTCTGAGCCATATTGACTTCTAACTTTTAAGCTTGATTTTCAGTCTTTCTAAAATAAATTCCACATGTTTTTCCCACATAATTTTATATGTAGAATCCATTTTTAAGATCAAATTATCAAAACGAAACTCGTTTCCCTTCAACTCAACTTGGCCGAATGCACAAGACTTAGGGTTCAAAATTTCATTTTCAATTCCAATGCTTCCAAACTTACTTTTTCACCTTTACCTCACACAATTTTTCATTTTAAACACATTAGAAGCATTAAAATCATCAAAATCAAATCCTATCAAGAACTTTAGGTTTGGCCAAATTACATAAAGGCTAAGGGGAAGTTGGATTCTCTTCAATTTCATCACAAAACCACTTGATTCTTGTTCTTTTCCAGCTTTTAAACAAGATTCTATCATCAATCAATATTTTTCATAACTTAATCACATTTGGACAACATCTTATCTTAGGGTTTCATGCTTCCAAAACTCAACAAAAACTATAATCAAGCTCAACAAGACAAAGAGCAACTTAAACTACATAAACTACATAAAAAACTATAACCTTACCTTATTTTGAAGCTTGGATTTGCCAAGGATTTTATGTTCTTTTTCTTCTCCCTTTTTCGTTTGATAATTTCATGCTCCCCTTGCTCTTACTATGTTGGCTATCCAAACACACAAATGGGAGGGAGAAAGGGGTATTCATAATACTAGAGTTACCATTTATCTTAGTTAATCTAATTTATCTTTACAATAACACATGTCCTTTGCTTAAACCACCCTTCATAAGATCTTGCCATGTAATTTGCTAGGTGTCTTAATCATGTTTCCCTTCTTCAAGATCATGCCACCTAATCACACATGTCGTAAAACATATTATTTTATTAAATAATTTCATTTCTTCCAAACATGCCCTTAACAAATGGTATTATTCCATCCATGTTCTTCTTATCAAATTTACATTAAGATAGGGAGGAAAAGAGGGAGAAATTTGTGCTCTCTCTTACCGTTGATTATTCTTCCACCTGTTTTACAATTTTATATCATATCGGGTACTTTTCCTAGTTCTGACTTACCCGATAACCCTAAGACATGTTCTGATATCCCTTTTTTTCATCACAAATAATTTTATATAGCATTATATAATATGCATACAGAGGGAGGGATGCTCTTCTCTTTGTCTTTTAATTAAAATATTTAACAATATTTATTTCAGAATAAACTTGATCGAATTCTTTTTACCAGTCTATGACTCTGAAAATTTGTCTCTAGATACCAATACTACCTTTTCATCACAAGAAATTTTTCTAATTTTTTTAAGGTCAAAAGTCAACTCATAAACAGTTTATTTTGACTTTCTCCAAATAGTATGTATATAGATAGGTTTTAAATTTATAAAGCCAACCTCTTTAATTTCTAGGGACAAAATCATTTTTAAAACCTATGATAATTTCTCAAGTATTTGTTCCCTATTTATCTCTAATTATTTGGGGTTTCCTCATGTTTTAAATAATTCATTTTTGTCTAATATTCATAGTTAGCCAAAACCTAGGAATTTCATCAATTTATTCTAGGAGTATTTTTGCCATTTTAAACCCCATATGGGTCTCAAAACCTCATTTTCCATTTTTTTCAGAATTTTTTTATAATTTTTCTCAAATTTTCAGGCATACTTTCTATCATGGCCCTTTCTAACCGGTAACTTTTTGAATTTACGATTAGCTCCTTACTCGAGTTTAGCCTTAGGGATCATCTCAATGAGGTTCCCAACACAACCTTTGGCCCTTAATCATCTCCAATTCCCATATTCGAGCCCTTAACACTTTATTAGAGTCTCTAACTTGTTTATCTCATCGTTCCATAAAACTCTTACGTGTGATTTAGTCCCTGAGAATCTTCTCGTCCTTCTAGGGAACTTCTAAAACTCTTACCAAAGGGGTCCAGTAACCTGCCAATTTCAAGCTTATTCTAGGTACTTCTAACCAAAATTTGAGATGTTACACATTACATTGCATTTAGTGGCAACATACAATAGTCTCACATAACCTTCCCTGTTACTTTATGTGTGTGCTTCATTGTACTTGTTTATTTTTTGTGGGTTCCATCCTTAGGTGGGAAGGATGGTACAGATGCGATCTTAACAAACCAATCTAGGTGGGAATGAATCCACAAACATACTTAATCAACCACTGAATCCTTTACAATTCAACCAAGAGACCTCATTGTAACAACTAAAGGAATGGTAATTACAGTGGTAGATGAGAGGGTAAGGAAGCTAGAGGAAGACTTGAGAAGCAAGAAAGCTGTAAAAGAATTTGAAAAGAGCGGCTTTCCTAAGCTATTTATGGGTAATTCTAAAACCCACATGGGTCCTATTGAAAGAACCAAAGAAGACAGTAGCTTGAAGAAGGCGACAAGGGAAAGAAGAAGCTGTGAACCTTAAGGTGTATTGAAGGACAGAGAGCATCATTATCTGAAGACTTTTGGAGGTATGGATCCTGATAAAGCTGAAGCCTAAATTGATGACATGGAGACAATATTTAAGACTCATGGTTGTAATACCTATCAGAAGTTACAAGCAGTGATGGTCTTATTAAAGGACTGAGCTAAGAGGTAGTGGAGGAGCGTAAGCAGCATAGATGACTTAGGGATTATTTGGAAAGAATTCAAGTAGACGTTCTTTGATCACTACTTTCCCCCAACCATCAGATAAGAAAAAGAGACAGCTTTTCATGCTTTTCGACTATAGAACATGCATGAGGATGAGTTTCTTACCAAATATATTGACCACTCCAAGCTGTTACCTACCTACAGCAGAAGGATGAGCTAGAGTATATGGCTATAAATCACACAAAATAACTGCCACAAAATGTTGTTTTTTTTAGTGTGTATTGCAACTCTAATATTCGTAGGAACAATGATAGCCAATACATCCAGCTTTAGGAAGCTTCATTCGGTAATATCTTTCTCTTTTCAGTTTATTTTTGTTATTTACTCTCTATTATTCCTTAAAAAATTAAAAAAAAATTCAACATTCTCTTCTACTCCTCATTCTATGCAAACTTAGATAATTTAGGAATTAACCTAAGCATTGACTCCACATAGAAAATTAGCTTACGTTAGTCCCTATAATATATAAGTCTAATCTAGTGATTAATTTAAGGCATATACAACTCTTGCTTGTCACAACATATGCCTTTTCCTATCATGGTTATGTTTGCAAATAAAAAGGGTTTGATTATCAAATGCAAATTTTATAAGAACCGTTGTTACAACTGCCATCTTAAATTTACAAATAAAGCTCTTAAAATGTTAAAATTTTATTTTATATGTGAAATTTCATTCATTTACAAGTAAATCACTCAAATTAAAAGTTAACTTTTTAAAATATTAGTATTTTAATATTCATAAATATGTGCAAGTGACTTTAAATAACTTCTGCTTTCAATTCATAAATTTTATAAGTGGCCTATAAATTAATTGAGTCTGGTTTGTAATATTAAAGTATGGGTTAAGGGTCATTTTCTGCCACGTAAGTGTTCTAAAAAAAGGTTACAAGTATATATTTAGAAGTATGCTCAATGTCATCTTTTGAAACAATAGTAATGTTGCCGTAACCAAATAACAACCCAAACGGAAATTTGCCACGTCAAATCTTATGTGATGTATAATTCTAGATGGGCACGACGATGCTTTCTTCTTCTGGTTAAAAGTCATATTTCGCCCTGAAAGTATGTGCAAAAGGGCATCATTGGGCATTCAAAAGTCCCCCCCCCCTGCTTAATGCCACCTTAAAAATATTAAAAAAGAATCCTTTTTTGCTTAATGTCACCTTAAAAATATTAAAAAAGAATCATTATCATCGGCACACTGATCGTATTTTTAAATCACGATTTTTTGTAAAAACACAAAGGGATCTCATGAACTATTACCAATTCTGACACTGATTCGCATGAAGTGGTTAAAAATCAAGATTTTCAGAGGAATATAAAATACATTCTTTTAGAGTAATGGCAAAGAGGTAAAGAAAACAAAACAAGATTTCGGTGACTATCTCTCCTCCCTCTTCCTCTACATATTTATTTTTTTTATTATATTTAAAAAATTATTCACTTTTTATTTTTATCTTAAAATAATATTTTTATTACATAATTTGGTTTTAAAATATAATAATCTGAAAAATATATAAGTAAATCAAATAACTTGATTTTAAATTATTTGATGATGCTAATCTTAGTATAATTTTCCTATTACAATATTTAATGGGATTTAATTTTAAATATAATATATTTTGATAAGGATAATTTAATTATTTAGATATATGTTCATTTTTTCTCTATATTTTCTCTCGTCTATCCAAACAAGAAAAATGATAATATCTTCTCTATAATTTTTCTTTTTCTCTGTTTTCTCTCCTTGCAGCTTTTTTTTCTATCCAAGTAGAGCACTAAAGAAGATGAAATCGTGACCCCTTTTCTAATCAGTCAAGGAAAAAGATTTATCACCGGAGAGACGACGGGAGCAAGTGGAGGAAGTAGTAAGGAGCCGTTTTTTTTTATCAGGAGCTAACATTTGATTGTTAAATTTGGACTACATTATATTGCTTCTTTCCTAACCTTTTTCGAGGCAACACTACTGTCACATATTTGGTATACTGGAATTAATTTTGATGGAAATAGAAATGAAAATGGATATAGAGTTACAAATGGATATAGAAATAGAAATGAGATTTAAAAGTCGGTTTAGTATATTATGAAATGAGATATAATTTTTATACAAAAATACCCTTCCTACAAACCCACTCTCCCATAAAAACGATTCTCCCCCACGCACGCCGATTTCATTAGGGAAGAAGCTTTAACGAAGTTCCATTTGAAAACCTATGAATGCAAATCATCATCATTAAATACAGTACAATTCAATCCCGAAACAATCAATGTTCTCAATAGTATCAAACCCACATAACCAATGCAAATAAAAACAACAAATCATGTCTTAAAGTCTTAAACTATCAAACAAAGCCATCGTCAAAATTCAGTCGTTGCCATGCTTCGGCCATAAAGACAATGACAGGGAATGTGAAGAAGACAAAGAAGAATGAAGGGGACTCAGATCTGCGAAGGACGCCGTGGAAGTGTCGACAAGGAGCCCAATCTTGAAGGTGGAGGTGGAAAAGATGAAAGAGGCCCAGATCCCTCAATGAAGCAGATGGAGGTGGTCGTCGATGGTGGGGGGGGGACCCCAATAAGTGGGAAGGTCGACTGTGGCGGTGCGGCTAATGAGTGGAGTGATTGACGGTGGCAGCGGCGCTAATGGGTATGGAGGAGAACTGCTAGAAGCTTGAAGAAGGAGAACGGTAAAAAGGAATTATGAGACGTGAAATTGTGAGTCTTGGGTTTTTTTATGGAAGCCATTTTGGCGGAATTGAGCTCCATATGGAAGTCAATTCCATGCTTCGTTACCTGTACCAAACAAATTTTGTGATGGGAATCATTTCCATTTCCATACCATGAGCCTCAATTCTAGTGCACCAAACGGGTCCTAAGGCCAAAAAGACTATGGATTTTCGTTATAATTACTTTCAAGGCAAAAATAATCGTTAACCTAACCAATTAATATTTTAAAAAATTTACTTGTTCAATCTAAAAAATGTACTTATAAGCTAATGAAGTTTGACTTATAATGTTACATAGCCCATTAGGCCAATAAGCAATTATGATTTATATACCTCAAAAATGTTACTTATAGGTGCCTAGCTTATAAACCAGTTGCAACTTGCAAATCACCAGAAGCCACTTATAAATGGATTGTTTAATTTCTTTTTCTTTTAAAAGAAAACGTTGACTGACTTATGCTAGTTATGACATACTACCTCCAATCCTAAATATAAGAACTAGCTGAATAATTTGAGTAAATTAAGAAAAATTGTTAAATTAGTTACTTATAATAGAGATGTGTTTTCTTCTCTAAAATATCTTTACTAATCATATAACCTTGAACTATCATTTGATAAAATATTTAATATGTGTAACTACTGCAGAGACTATACTGGGAAAAATGGATAAATATAAAAGAAAAAATGGATTAAGATCTTATATTTAGAACTAAATTGAAAGTCAAACTAACTTTTATATTAAAGACCGAACGTAGTATCTATAATATTAAATCCAAATCAATCAATATAATCAAACATCATACAAATATTTAGAAAACAAATGCATTTGTATAAAACTTTCATTTAAATTATACACATGATATCACCAAGCCACTACGCCAAAAAAAAAAAACACGAGAAGTTTAATGAAGCAACCATAACAAATGATCATATACAAAAATGTCCCAATATAATATAATAACCAGTTTTTTTTGTGTAATCCTTAACTTTGCATATGAAATCCTACTTATAGCTAAAAATATGAGCAAAATCAATTGCCCTGTTTTTATTTTACTATTTTTTTGGGGCGTCAATTCCCCTATGGTGCTCCAATGTTAATTGGAGGTTTCAACTTTCAACTTTCAAAACTTAAAATTAGTTTTTGCCAATTACTAGCGGTAATTACTCGCACTTCGATTCAATTCGGCTTATGGAAAAGACTTCCTTCACGGCTTTTGATTTAAAAGACTTTATTTATTTGTCGCAAAACCTTTTGAAGATTTAATAAAATATTCATAACTAGTCATAAAAATGCTTTTATCTCTTTATAATGGTGATTTTTATCTCTTCTTTCATCATACCAATTGAAGGATAATTTTAAAAATTTATAAATTTTATAATATTAAATTAACTTTAACAATTTTTCTTTTGGTGAATCACTTTTTTAAATATAAAATCTACTTAACTAATTTAACTAACTATTGATATACTACCTCCAATTCTAAATATAAAATCTACTTAACTAATTTAAGTAGATTAAGAAAATAAGTTAAGTTAGTTATTTGTAATAATAGGTATTGTCTTTTCTAAAATATCCTTACTAATCAAATTTATTGGTTAAAACTATTATTATTAGAAGGACTATCTTGGGAAAAAAATAGATAAATATGAGACAAAGTGGATTGGGATACTATATTTAGGACCAACATAAAAATTAAATCATGTTTTATATTAAAAACTGGAGGTAATATATGTGTGTGTCTATGTGTGCGCGCACGTATATAATACAAGGAAAAAAGAAGTTATTGGATCAACTATTAAAAAATAACTTCATCTCCATTCCAATTGTTCTTCACCTTTGGACCAGCAGGTCCTTCCTCTCCTAACACCTTACTCAGCAAACTGCTCATAATCTTCTCCACAAGCTTTTTGAACTTCCCAGGCAACCATTTCTTTACCTTGTTCAATTCTTCTACAACATGATAGCTTATCTTCAAACCCCATTCTCTAAAATAGTTCAACCATGGTGACTCCACAATCTTTGACCCCAAATACTCCACATACACTACTTCATACCCTTACCCCATATCCATTACCATATTGCTCTCCACAATCTCATTCCTGACTCAGAAACTATTGGTCCCGTGAAGATTCATCCCTGTTTTGGGGTAAAATGCATGGCCATGAAATGATGAATAAACAATAGGCTTGTTTCCAGTCTTGAAGTCCAGATTGAATGAATCAACCCAAATACCTCCACTATGTTCTGAGAAATAAACACTTTTTAGTTCTCCATTAAAATTGCTCACTCTTAGCGTCACGTATTCCCAGTCCCCCACGTGGTGGCCAATTTTCCCCAATAAAATGGTGATGAACTCTAGTTTTACTCTTGTAGGTCCATTGAATGGGTAGTACACCCAATAGCCCATGTCTGTGAATGTCCCTCCAAACATGGGTTTTACGTTAAGATATGGTTGAGAGCTTTGTAAGTCACCTCTTTTAACTCTTTCCTTGTTGGCTTTGCCTGTTAGAAGATCCAGCCAATAGGAATCAGTGTTAAGACCTTGAGGAAGATTTGTGCCATTTGGTTGTATTGGGGTAGGATGTGATTCATCTCCTTTCTTATAGACCAATCCTCCATTAGCAAAAAGCCAGTTCACCAAGGAAGGGAGAGTAAGCTTGGACTATTGCTTGAACTTATTGTAGATTTGGCATAGAGGTGAAGTTAACATTGGTGTTTTTCAAACAAGATATAGCTAGAGCACCAGTGTTTCCACCATTTTGAGCTAGAAATATGCCTACGATAAGTCCTGGAGCTTGAGTGCTTCTATTACCTGGACTTGTTTCATAGAGGTTGAACTCATTGGAGTCATTAGATGTGCTTGGTCCCTAGATCCATGTATATGTTTCAATATGATCAGTCGGGTTTGACCGGCCACACCAAATTTTATTGAGGGAGGGTCTTTCCTTTGTTGTGGTCACAACATGTCCTATTGCTTTATAGCCATTAGGAGGGTTTGCTTGCCAGATATAGGTTGAGCTATTTTGATTGATTTTTAGGGACTCAGTGCTCTAAATCAAAGTATGGTCAAGTGGTCACAAGAACCCATCCAAAAAAGGGCTTGTTGTTAGGTTGGCTATAACAACCTAACATTGAAAATCTTTCTTGTAATCTTGTTGGTTCAAAGATTGTAGCCTTAAGATTGTCTAGACCACCTTCATAGGATGTCCACACTTTGTTGAATGTTAAAATCTGTGCTACTTGCAACTCATCCAAATTGATGATCCTAGTAGCATATCCATCACATGCATGTAAAATGGTAATAATCATTGACCAATGAGATAACATTTGACAAAAATCACACTTCAAATTGTGCTTGGCCCTCACACGGATTTTGTCTTAAAGTAAATCACAATCTGTGACACATGGGATTTGGTTTAAATGTCTAGTGTGAGTGGTAAGCGTGTTTAAAATATGATACACCTCTGTTTCTGATGTCTCTCAATGCTTTGCAAATAATACATAACAGCTTTGCATCTGTTGAGTTCATATCTTTGCGTTAGGAAAAGTAAGAATCTGAACAACCAAAATGGAGAGAAAACTATATGAAGATAATGGTTTTATCACCTGGTGGTCGAACTGGTGTTGGAGCGAGAAGGTTGAAAGTGGTATTAATGGGAAGACTTTAATCCTTCTTGGAGATACCCTTAAGAAAATTACCCATCTCTATTTTCAATTAGAAAGATAAAATGAATCCAAAGGTAAGATGAGTAATAGTCTTATACAATATATACGTATTTTGCAAGGCGCATGAAATATCCTTCCATTTACCCTTTTTAGTATGCATTTGGAAGCATTAAGATTCAATTGAATCATGAAACAAGCCCACATATTGAAATTTTGAAATTGGTTACTCAGGTTACTATTTACTAGTAAATTTCAGATTTTTTATCCAATTTTAAAAATTCATAACTAATTATAGAAAAAATGTACTGAGGTGGTTCAAAATTTTATTTGAAACTCTTTCAATTTTCTATAAGGAAAAATATAAATCCAGACTTAATCCGTTCCAATTCATAGAGTTAATTGCGTAAGGTTTACTGTTCAAGATAGTATTTCCCAGATTCTCTGTCCTAACTTTGATCAATCATAACTTTTAGCATATATATCCAATTGAAGTGGCCTACCACTTCTTTTAAACCTTAGGATGTGCTCTAGATGCTACACCAAATTGCATAGGCATATTTGTTCATTTACCTCACTTCCACTTTGTAACAATTTCGTGTCCCATTTAGGGATAACTTATCCCCCTTACTTGAATTAATAATTCAAAATTAATTCTTCTAAAGCATATTACTATTCCATCCATACATAATCCATATCTAAGCTCAGAATAATTAGAATCCAACTCCTCCCCCTAAAATCAACTTTGGCTGAACACAGGGTTTTAGAGTTCAAAATTTCATTTTTAATTATAACTAGAAATTTCTCCCCCGTGCATCGCACGGACTAAAATATTTAATTAATTTTAAATTCTAATAAATTGTATTATTTAATATAGCTCAAGATTTACTTTTTATAGAAGTGTGTTTTTTTTTATTCCTTCAAATTGTATTTGAATTAAAGATGTGAAATTTAGGAGAAACATATGAAAATTTAAAATTATTTATTTATCTCTCCATTTAAACCCCAATTAACATATTATTTTATGATACTTCTCATTTAATTTAATATATTCAAATCCCAATTAAGATATTATTAAAATTCAAAATTAATTATTAATTTCTTCATTTGAGCCTCCATTAAAATCTCATTTAATAATGATACTCCTCATTTAATTCAATATACCCAAATCCCAATCAAAATATTATTCAGATCTTATTATTGATTGAATATATTCGGATCTTATAATATCATACTGTAAGACCCTTAACCTCAAAACAATATAACTCGTCATAAACCCACTACTATGGTAGAAAAGAAAATCTGTTAAACGAGCTACCATAGTAGAAGGAAAATTTCATACTTTTAGAAATTGACTTTCAAACGCGGGTCAACCTGTAATCCGTTGCATGCAACTGAAATCATTCATTCATATACACTGGGCCTCCGAGCCTCCGGCCCGGGTAACAAAACACATCTACATCAGCCCATATAATTGGTTTTCCAACATAGTAGATCAAAGTTTCATAATATTAGCAATGGCCTCCGGCCAACCAAAAATAAGGAGATAACATTCTCTCCTGTTTACAACAAGGCCGGGTAATCAAAATAATTCAAAGGACCATAATGTGGCAATATACAACTGGTCATACATAAACAAAGACTAGAGGCCTAAAGCTAACCAAGCTCAAGCCTCTGCATCTCTTCCCGAAGGCGCACGCCTAGCACCTTCACCTGAAAATATTGTAAACCACTGGGTGAGACAAAGTCCCAGTAACCAACCTTTCCAATACTAGGTACTACTAAATAGGTGCTCGTGAGGTGTCAAGTGGGGCAGTTCACAAATAATATATAACGATAGCCACAACAATTCATGCAAGTGCAATGATGCAATCCCATCAACCAAATCCCTCACTTTGGGGGATTTTCAGGAGCCGAAGCCGGCCTATCCCTCACTATAGGGGACGTAAGGAGCCATAAAAGGCCTATCCCTCACTATGGGGCACGTACTAAGCCAACCATCATGCATTAATGGAGGCCTTACCACGTGGTAGTAACTATCAAAAACTCTCACCAAATCCCAAATCATGCATCATGCTCAAACCTTAGTCAAATAGTAATTGATCATCTCATAAGTACTTCATTCAGTGGCATATCCTTCAAATTTCAAGATTTCATTCATCATCAATCAAAACCCCACAAGACGGTTTTCCTTTTTATACACAACATACAGTTTGAACATGATTACTAATTGGAGCACAAAACATAAATCTACTCACAATACCACAGAAGCAAGTACTAAAGATTGGAAAGTGGTTACCTCTCGCCTGAGCAAGGAATAACAAACCAACAATGTGGCCCCGTGCACCACCAAGACTCACAACCGGTCTACACAAGCACACAAACACACAACCATCATGTATTAGCTTTCAAACTAATAATGTGGCCAAAACAACATTTGGGGACACAAAATTCCTATCTCCCATCAAAACTCTACCCAACTCAAAGGGTATAACTATCAAGGCAACACTCCAATGGTCATACCAATCCATTAAAACCTTAATCCCTTTCCAAACATCAATTAAAATTCATAACCTCAAGGACCCACTATAGGAGTTCTACACCCAAACATCCCATTTGAGCAATTAAGATTCCAACAACAAATCTAAACCGATTAAACATCCAATTTAACCCTCCTTAACATAACCCAATTCACAAAACTCAGAATCAACCTCTACATTATCAACCTCAATCCCAAATCATCCATTTCCATAAACCCTAACTCCAAAATTCAAGATTCTTTAAATCCAAGGAAACTACACCGATTAAACACTTAAACCAACCCAAAGCAATCAATTAAACTCAAAACAATCGGTCAAAAACCTCAGTTTCATCACAACCTAGAAAATCCTAGGGTTCCACCAAAAATCTTTAGAAATCCCAAGAAAGAAAGTAGATTAGAGGTTAAAATCACTTGCTTGAGGTAATGGATCCTTAGAAATGCCCCCTCCAAGCCAGAAATTCAAAACCCTAGCAAAGCCTCTCTCTCTACCTCAGATTTTTCTAATTTCCGCACGCTGAACTCCTCCCGCAAATATATAGATTCGGGACCTTTCACCGCGGCGAACCCCAATCTTCGCCGCGGCGAACTAATCCCGAGAGGGATTACTCGCCTGAAAACCCGACTTCGCCACGGCGAAAGCTTCCCGAGAGGAAACTCTTGCTCGCCCAGAAAACATTCGCCGCGGCGAAACTTTCCCAAAAGGGAAGCCTCGCTCACCTGAACAACTTCACCGCGGTGTCCCCAAGACTTCGCCGCGGCCAAACCTTCCCGAGAAGACACTCCCCTCTAAAACTCCTGGTACGCCGCGGCGAACATACCCTGAGAGGGGTACGTTCACCTATTCCTCCAACATACCTCAAATTCAACCCAAACACCAAGATCAAAATTAAATCGCTAATCTATCCTCAAAATCAACCAAAAGAGGCTATTAAAACTCGATAAGACTTAGGATGTTACACATACCCGACCCGTTTTAAGCGAATCGGGTATTACAAGTTTTCAAAAATATAATGATGATGCTTCCAAACTTGCTTTCTCACCTATACCACACAAAATTTCCCATTCTAACCACATTGAATGAATCAAAATCATCAAAATCTAACCCTAACTCAACCTCCAAGTCAAGCTGAAATTCACACAAAGATAGGGAAAGTCGGATTCCTTGCAAACTCATCACAAAACCCCTTGATTCTTATTCTTTTCAAGTCTTTAAATATTATTCTAACATTAATTTCATCTTTCCTTAACCCTATCAATTTTATGCAGCAAGACCCTTAGGGCCTGTTTAGTACAAGGTATTGGAGGGGTTGGTATTGGTGTTGGTATTGGGATTGCTTATTTTGTTATGTTTGGTAGGAGGAAATTAGTAATCCTGGGACTGCACAATCCCAACTTTCCATGGGACTGCTTAATACCACCCAACCCCTTGGTATTGGAAACTCAGTCCTAGGATTGATATTTTGTTGACAAATTTGCCCCCCACTCCATGCCCTTTCCTTGCCGTCACTCTTATCTTTGTCCTCCCCTACCAATGATGTCTTCCACTGATACGCGGTGTCCTTATTCTGACATCCTCATCTTCAACCTTTGAATCAGATCTGGCGAGTGGTGATATCTTCAAAGCTGTAGTGAGAGAAAAGCAAAGAGGAAGCAACACCAAGAAGAAAAATGAAAAAAGAGAATATAGAACCAGAAATCAAAAACCAACAAGAAATAGGAAACAAAAATAGGAATCATAGACCCATATTTGCAGAAAATCATGAGCTTGAAGTAGTCAAATCAAAGGTGGGTCATCTTCATGGACTGCCATAACCAAGTCAAGAGAAATCACTATCCTCAACTAAATGTGGAGTTCTCAGGATTTGTAAAAGTGGAGGGCGAAGGTGGTGAATGCTTCAAAAGATTGCATCTATGAAAGAGAAGGGTGAAGGTGGGTGAAGCTTAGAACATCGCAGATGGTTTTGACGTTTTAGGTCAAGAGACAGGAGAGAGAAGGATATTGTTGTCTTTCTCAATTATTAATTATTTATAAAACAAAATTAATAAAATCAATGCCTTGAAATATTACTTCACACCAAACATAATTTTAAGGCTTCATTCCCAACCCCAATGTCAGTCCTAGTTCCAGTACCAGTCCCATTCCCGATCCATTAAAATTTAAACCTCCATACCAAACACAACCTTAGGTTATGTTTGCTACGAAGCATTGAAAATAAGGGATAAGGATTGGAATTGGGGTTGAAAACATATGTTAAAAACATACTTAGCATGAGTGATTTCTTATTATATGGGATTAGGCAATCCCACATAGATAGGATTAGAGAATACCACTACCCCTTATGGTACTCCCCAATCCCACATATATAAGTTTGTCTAATCCCAAGTATCATACAATACTTATATTAAACACCCTTTTAATATAGTTTTACACTTCTAATCTCAATCCCTATTCCTCATTTTTAATGCTTTATACCAAACGGAACCTTAGGGTTTCAAGCTTCCAAAATCCAACAAAATCCATAATCAAACTCAACAAGACAAGTAGCAAGATAAACTACATCAAAAACCATGAATGTACCTTGTCTTGGAACTTGATCTTACATGTATTCTCTTGCTCTTTCTCTTCTCCCTTTTCCCTTCTCCATTTCAGTTTCCTCTCCCTTTTCCTTAGCTTGGCCAAAACTTGGCCAAAATGGGGAGAGAAGGTATTTATAAAGATTTTGCTCAAATTCTGGCCATTAATCTTGTGTGCGTAGGGCTTGATCTTGGCTATTCATTTGATCTTTTTGCCAAGTGCCCCTTACCTTCTTGATTCTTGCCATATCAGTCCCTTATGTGTCCCCTTAGGTGTCCTCTCATTCAAAGCTAAAGGCCACTTTACATGTGCTACCTATTACACATGTGAAAAAAGCATGATATTTTATTACCTACTTCTATTCTTCCAAACTTAACCCTTAACAAAATGTATTATTCCATTCATGTCCCTTCATCAAATTTGCATTAAAATAGGGAGGAAATAGGGAGAAATTCGTGCTCTCATATCCTTGACTATTTCTCCACCAATTTTATGATTTTATGTCGTAGCAGGTACTTTTTCGGGTTCTAACTTACCCGATAACTCTGGGACATGTTGTGGCACCCTTTTCTCATCTCCAATAAGTCCACACAGCATTATATATGCTTACCATATTTAATAATATTTATTTTAGAGTAAACTTAACTGAAATCTTTCTACCGGTCCATAACTCTAAGAATCAGTCAATGGGTACTAATACTATGTTTTCATCACAGGGAATTTCTCTAATTTTTCTTAAGCTAAAAGTCAACATGTAGACATTTTATTTTTACTTTCCCCGAATAGTGCATGAATAGGCTTTAAATTCCATTAAATTCAACCTCTTCGCTTTCTATAGATGAAATTATTTTTAAAACCTATGATAATTTCTCAAGCATTTTTTTCTATTTTTCTCCAATTATCTCAAGCCTCCTCATATTTTAAATAATTTAATTTCAGCTAATATACATAATTAGCTCAAACCCTGAGAATTTCATCAATTTGCTCCAAGGGCATTTTTGTTATTTTTAACCCCATATAAGTCTCAAAACCTCATTTCCTATTTTTCTGAAATTTTTTTAGAATTTTTGGGCGTACTTTTCACCATTGCCTTTTCAGGTCCAAAACCTTCTAAACTTACAATTAGGTCTCTATTCGGGTTTAGCTTCAAGAATCATCTCACTGGTGTTCTCAGAACAACCTTTACCCCTTAATCATCTCCAATTCCTACACTTGTCCTATTGAGACTTTATCAGATTCTCTAACTTACCTATCTCATGATTCTAGAAAACTCTTACTTTGCGATTTAGTCTTTAAAATCCTCCTATCCTTCCAGGAAACTCTTGCTAAACAAGGTTTAATAGCCTTTACATTTCAGGCTATTTTTTGCACTTGTAAGCCTAAAATTTTAGATGTTACAGAGCATGTTCATTTTCTTGCTGTTCTTGTCAACTCTTTCATTTTTCTTGCCATGTTGTCTCCATACATGAATTCTTCTGATGATTGAACCTGATGGGAATACTTGTTTATTTCTTGCCTTTCTCATTCAGCCGCTCATTTTTCGATGACCGGCCCATTCTTGTTAACCTTCAACTCTTGTTCAAGATGCCTGATTTTTTATTTGAATGTATGACTCTGACTTTGAACAAATGTCAAAGCCATTTTATTGTCCTGTGTGGCTAACCAAGAAATAATTATACTCCTAAGTCCCTTGACTTTTCCTATGTAAGTCAAAAACATCTCTTATGTGATGAAATAAATTTCGGAATATATGGACTTCTTTTTCTTACGGGCCTGGACGCAGTTCAAGATGAAGAGATGAAATTGATTCTTACTGTAACAGAATAGTAGGAAATTTTTCACCAACAGAATAGAAGGAAACTAATTTGACTATAGACAGCCCGTTCGGTACATGAAAAATTTATCAAAGGAAAAGGAAAAGGAAAATGTGGGCTTGTTTGTTCTTGTTTTTTTTTTTTCCTCAAAACAATTTTATAAAATTATTTTTTAAAACAAGTTTTAAGAATAAAAAACAAAAAAAATACGTTTGCATAATTATTTAAAAAATCATATTTAAAACAAAAAAAGTAAAAAAAATTCATATTCAGTGGCCAATGGTCATCACTAACATGTCACGTGACGCGCAATGGATAAGAAAAGGATGGAGTTTTTTCTAATTTTCCAAAACAAAAAAAAATGTAAAAACAAAAACAAGAAAATATCTAAAATTTGCTTTGGTTTTTCAGTTTTTAAGAAATATTGTTGTTTTTTTTAAGACAACCAACTAAAAATAAATTACGAAACAAGTTTCTTTTTTTTGTATTTATATTTAAAACAAAATAATTATTTTCAAAACAAGAAATCAAACAAGCCTAAATATCCTTCCATTTCCCCTCTTTAATCAAACCAAATAAAGTAATATTAAAATCTTTCCAACTCTACCCTCCCCTAACCTCCCCCAAGATAAAAAAGGACTTTAATCTAACCAAAAAAAAAAGTAAAATGGGCCTGCCATCATCCTGAGGGGGAATTCGGTGCATAAGAGGTCATGAATGAGATTTCAAATGGAGGGATCGGAGAATGCACCAAACGTGTTTGCACGAAACACCTGAGAACAAGAACCCATCCATGATCTTACTTATGAAGCACCTGATGAGAAAACGTCTCTTGATGGATGTTGTTACAAGCATAAATGGGTTGGCCCTAATGGGGTTTTTTAAAAAAAAAAAAATTATTTATAGGATGCTAATATGGTTCCTTTTTTCACTTTGTTAATAATATTACAAATATTTAGTTGTTGTTGTTGTATTAAAATTGAATTTTATAAAACTGTCTGATTTTATTGGTTTTGAACAACGATTTATTCAATTGAACTTTAAAAAATGAGCTAATTTAGACTTTAGATAATGATTTGATTTATATTATATGTGTTAATATTTTTAAACTATGTATATTTAATAAAAGAGTATTTTTATACTTATATAACTTGTAATTCTATAACTTGAATTAGAAATTATGAGTTTTAATGGTAGCGTATCTTCAATTAAAGTAAAATAATAACTAAACTACAAAGCTTGCGAAGTAAAATTTATTTAAAGAAGAAAACTTTGATATTTTTGTCACTGAAAAAGAGTCAATCCAACTAAATATTGTTGATATTGAAGATAGTGATAAAAATCATGTTGATGATGTTATTGTTTATAGTGTTTAATTAGATTTTGCTTTATATAAAATTTAAAACAATAGCTTGATTTGGTTTAGTTTTAGAAATTTAGATAAAATTTTGGCTTTTTTTTTACACTAATATTAATGACTTGTAATATGATTTTCATGAAATTTATTGCTTTATTTTTATTCATTATTGCTTTACTTTTATCCACATTAAAATATGTAAAAAAAAATTTAAACAGGTCTAAAGCCCACAGGCTGGCCCAAGTCCACTTATATAAAGGCTGGGCTTTGTAAAATGGTGATTTTTTCAAATATGGATCTAGGTGGGCCAGCCTGTTTAAGCCTACAACCCGTGAAGGACTAGCCCGTTTTTCCAATGCCATCCCTACCGTCCACTCAAACCAAATATTACCATCTTCTCAAACCAAACAAGCCCTTAAGATTAAAATACATCTAATCCACCTAAACTTTGGATCAATTATATTTAAAAGTCTAAATAAAAATCTTAACGTTTCACATTTTGACTATTATCAACTCCCTTGTCATTATAATTACCATTCAAGTTAATAATTTTTGCCATGACAAAATTTTATATTTTTTTGGTATTCCATGTCATTTAAAAAATAATACTTACCATTTGACATGTAATTGTGATTATTTTTAAATGATTAACATAAAATGCTTAAATACTTAAAAAGTATTTCAAATAATTATTTGATCATATCTTTTTAAATAAAAAGTATAAAATACTTAAAACTACAAGTTGTTAGATATGATTATTTTTGATGATGTCAAATAATAGAGCAAAAAGTTTACATAAATTATTTATCTCATATTTTGACTACCTATCATACTTAATATCCTATGTAGTTTCCTCAAGAAAAGAAAGGAGTTATTATGTTGAACTTTGAGTTGTGAAAAATGATCAAGAGGAAGAAGAAGAAGAGAGATTGAGAAAAGAAGAACTTGCAAGATCAAATGGAAATATCAAGATTCAAGTTCATAGATTTGATGTTAAAGGTTGCAATGCTCAATCAGAAGTTTGGATGGCTCAGTCGGAAGCTAAAATATACAACCGGGAAGTTATACCATCATATATTGAGTCACCCTTCATATAAACATGGAAAATAAGCTTCAGAGGTGATTTTCATGGGCAATTATCGATCACTTGATCGATCATCCATTTATCGATCAAGTTATCGATAAAATGCATCCTCTGTTATGCTCTGTTCTTCGTTCAGCTCTGATATAGGTTCGGTATTTCTTCAATATCTCTCAAACCACAAATCCGTTTGAGGTGAAACTTAATTCATATGAAACTAGACTCAGAACACGGTTCATGGACACCAAAATCAACTTCAAAGAGTTTCATATGAGGGAGATATGTTGCTCGAAACATTGCAGTAAGGATTAACGCCTTGATTCCGACCTTTAGTCATTGTGATGAAGATAAATTTTCAACCACAACGAATTTTGGGGTGATTCTTGTTGCATTAGAAAGTAGACTCAAAGAGCTTTCTGGGGATAGGTCATTTGCAAAATTTGGAGCTGAATTGGAAGAGTTATGATCAC